AAAAAAAAAAAAAACTAGGAAATAAGGAAGCTGTGCACTGAGTGCAAAATCCAAAGAATCGCATATTAATCGTCTAGATGGCAATCGTGAAAAAGGATCGAGGTATCGAATCACGACGTACAGTGGAGAGAACCTTGATATAAATGTCCCTCTGTGAATATATACTTCTGTTACTATAACATATCGCTATAAAAAAATTCGACCAATATTGGATTAGATATATAATTTCCTATAAATTTTTTTTCATATATATATATACAAATATTTCAAATATATTACATTACGACAGTTCATTTAAAAATAGAATAACATAGTTATTTTAAACGAGACAACTGTCGTGTTTACAATTTAGTTTTATAAAGTCATTTATTAGAATATTAATTATCGATCGGCTTAATTAATTCTTGGATATTAGGAGTGTTCTGCTGTACAAACGTTCGAAAAGCTACGATAAGATAAAAAGAAGAGTTTCATTTTTTTGTTACATTTCATATCCTCTCTTGTAATGTTATTTAGTGTTTATCTAGTAATATCCTCGATCGTAAGTCTTTAAAATCGACATCGAAAAATTTCATGTCATTTAGTTAAATCAGAGTGCCGATGACTTAGATTTAATCTAATAAATCACATCTCTTTTGAAAGAAACATAATTTTTTCATAACACTTTGATTTTCCGATATGGCGCGATCTACTTCATCTACTCTATCTAATGTGTGATGCTTTATAGCGATAGACTCCAGCGCGTGGATGATAATAATTTATCGCTAGAGCGTGAACTATATCGTGTCGTTATGACACCAAAACTCGAGAAACTATATACATATATCTACGCGTTAAAATTATACTATATAGAAATCGATTAAATGTCGAAAGCGAAATGCGGTAAGATTACTCCCAATCACATATCCTGCTGGAATGTGCGGAGGTTTATGTACAGAAGATATTTACGTTCCAGATTGATTTATATATGGATAGGGTTCGCGCAATAAACTCACGACAAGCAATACGTGCGATTTTCGCGCGATTAGAATGTAGAAAGAGAGAGAGAGAGAGAGAGAAAGAGAGAGAGAGAGAGAGTGAGAGAAATAAAGCGAGAGATGAATGATTATCTTTGTTTTACTGGAGGGCTCGAAATATGTAGGAAATAAAACGTCTTAGTTTTAATTTCGAGAAATCTTAGAGAATACTTAGCGCTTTGATTCGAAACTGTTTGTGATATACGATTGCATCGTTTTAAAACATTGGTTAAAATGGCAAAGGCAAGCCGCCGAGGATATCTCGTCGCGAGTAATGCTCAAAGTTCCGGCAATTCAGACGCTGCATGGTACAATGTATATGCGTGAGTCAGAAAAAAAATGTACATACAACTTTTTATTTCTATAAAGAAAATAATTAATCTTTAGTTATATACCCGTATTCGATGCAGATCCGAAAGAATTGGCGGCCGGCCACCTTTACGGGGAACAAAATCTATTATATTCAAATGTAGGAAATAAAACGTCTTAGTTTTAATTTCGAGAAATCTTAGAGAATACTTAGCGCTTTGATTCGAAACTGTTTGTGATATACGATTGCATCGTTTTAAAACATTGGTTAAAATGGCAAAGGCAAGCCGCCGAGGATATCTCGTCGCGAGTAATGCTCAAAGTTCCGGCAATTCAGACGCTGCATGGTACAATGTATATGCGTGAGTCAGAAAAAAAATGTACATACAACTTTTTATTTCTATAAAGAAAATAATTAATCTTTAGTTATATACCCGTATTCGATGCAGATCCGAAAGAATTGGCGGCCGGCCACCTTTACGGGGAACAAAATCTATTATATTCAAATTTTTTTTTTTTCTTAATTTAATACATGTATACAAATTCTCGGAGAATATAATGGCTCAAAATTGTTTTGCTAATATTCGTTCTTTACTTTTAAAGATATTTGTATCAACTATTTTTTTTGTTTTGTTTCAAGAGTACATAATCCTTTATTGTGAATAAAAAAAAAATATTTCCTATAAAATGAAAATGTGCGGTATTTTTTACTATACCGTCGCGCGTAACATTTATATTCGCTGAGAATACGATATTATGACAAAAATAGTGATTTACGAAGGAGAATAATAAAAATAGGGAATACAAGAAGTTTTGAGTCGTCAGTGGAATACATTTAATATATTATATACTGACGATACATGTCGCAAATCTGTTGACAAACTGTTACTGTACAAAAACATTTAGCAGTATTGCCATAAGTTTCATCTATGAACAATAAATTATTATTAAATTATTGTTCGTCGAAATATAATTGTCGATCAATCATGAATAATTTAATGCCCTCCATTAAATTAAGCATACAGAAAAAGGTAAAGTAGGAAGACAAAAAATACTTAACATAAAAATAAATTTTTTTAAATTACGCGCATCTGTTTTCATGTTAAACGTCACCAGGAAATTCGCTGGGCATAGGGTTGATCCTCCCAATAGAATACTTTATTGGAAAAAATAAAAAATTGCAAACAATTTATTGTAAAAATCGTAAGCGATTCTAAATAAATCTGCCATTTTTCCGGCCTTTTCATACTTAAGCGATAAAAGATGTAAGGAAGAATGAAGTAACGCGGTTCTACCAGTAACTGGGGTATCAGAATCATGCTTACGCAAATAATATAATTGATCTGTGTAAGAAATCTCAAGTGACTGATATTTTTCGACATGGCGAACAGACTCGCGCAGTAAATCGGTATCAACAGGTACTTGAACATCGTGTATCGACCCATGAATCGATTCCATACATAGAACAAGTAATGCCGATTATCTGCCAAAACGTACGGGTGCACGAGCGTGTTGAAACGAATCACCGTGGCCATTAATACAACGACGCAGTTGGCAGAAATCCAGTACCGACGAAGAAAACGCGAACACGTTCGCCAATGAGGCATCACGTACGGCCACGAGAATAGAGAGACGAAGGCCGAAAAATAAAATATCTGACAAATGTGAATCGTTGCGACGTGAGCGGTACGGTCGCCAATCACTATGCCTTTATTCCACACAACGAAGGCGACAAACATCAAGCATACCATTATATAAAAAAATAGACTATTGCATATTTGTGCAATAAACTTAATAAATGATAACGGGCCTTTGCGTAACTCGTACATTATCTGCTTCCATATTAACTAGAAGTGATTTAGAAAGAAATTTGTAAGATTAATTCTTCTATATATAATGATTATGATATGTACATTAAAACCTTCCAATTCTACTTACACGAAAGTGCAATGGAGTACTGAGCACTCGTGGGGAGATTGGTTTTTCCATTCTATTATCAAATATATCTAATGCATGTTCTATAGTAAAAAAGCCAAGCCAAATGATATTTGTTTGACGAACAAGTACAGCTATTAAACCTGTATAATATCATTTTAATTTGCTTAATTGTTTCAATTTTAATTTATATTCTCTTTCTTATGATTTACATAAATATAGTGTTATTACCTGCAAATGCTGTCATTTTTGTGTGCTTACGTTGGTGCAAAAATAACATTGCAAGTACTATATTTACAGACACAACATCTGTGTAATAGAAAAAGCACCAAAAGTACAATGGTGGAAAAAGAGTAATATTATAGGCCAATGTAAGTATCAACCAATTATTCCACCGCTCTGTTTCATTAGTTTTGCAATTCTCTTTTATAATGTTATAAATAAGATAAAGATTTAGGCATGTTCCAAGTAAATTTATACATCTTATATATGTAGTATTGCACATATTAAAAGGTGATAATATCGCAGTAGTAATAAGATATAATCCTGGCAATGTAGTGATTTTTGGATCCCACTGAAAATAATTTAATTTGATTTATTTTTGAGAATTGTGTGCAATACTTAAAAGCAAATTGTTTTCGTGCCATATATTACCTGCGTAAAATTCCATGCGCAGTAACGTAATGTCTGCGGTATATGAAAAGCCTCATCGATGAAATAATGTGGTTGAATATGATTAAGATACAGAAAAAGTAATATAGTACTTGTAATGAATAACGTTAATGTGGAATACATAAATATTTTGTAGTTTAGTTTCATATTATTGAGATGAGATATGAGACTCATAATTGCTTTAAAAACGTTTTCATATATGTTTAAACGTCATTAAACTTCACTTACGCTACATGTGCGTAAAATTAATAATATTACGTTAAATGCATTATCACAGCAATATATTTTGATTAATTTAATCTTATTAAAATATGTAAAAATGTAACACTGTTATATCGTAAATTTAATACGATTAATATATCGTGTAATAAAATGTATATTACACTAATAATTAAATATTATTTTCAAAAGCCGGTAAAATTCACGTAGCATATGCTCGTGTTTACAATCATTCCGAAAACACATCGAGAATAGAGGTTAGGTTAGGTCGAAAATTTATCGTTTGACAGTTGGCATTCCTACAAAAAGATCCGCAAGCACTGCGCGCGCGTATACAAGATAAACTTCAAATCGCTTCTATCCTAATCATCTTTACATGACCGATTTTACTTGAATGCGTCGCGTCGTATTCGAGCGTGATGCCGATTTATTCGACCATAAATCGGAACATCGCGGTATCGCAAATCGAATAAGAGCGGGCTGTCACGCAAATATGATGAATCAATTCACTCACCGTTCGTCGTCCACTGGCCATTCCCACAGGCTGCGACCCTCCGCTCGGGATTCCATTCTCTCGCTCTTGACGCACATAAATTCACACGATATCACTAATGTGAACGCGCGACACTTTATTCGGCACTCCCGACATTCATTCGCGCCCAATAATCGTCATCAAGAAGGCGTATAACGCGATGCGACTTCGTTCCATCTCGATGACGCATCAACCGACTGATTATTACGAGAAACACTGTCGCGCGCTTCGCTTTTCAACGCGTTACGAACTGCGATACTCGCGCCAGAGAGAAGCCTGAGAGGGGTCACGCCGCCGTTTTTTATAAAACACTTTTTCTAACTGGCACAGTAGCGCCAACTAGATTCATTCTAAAACCGGAACTACATGGCTAGATTCACTTTTCGGTGCTACGGTAAAATAATCGCCGATTGATGCACGTGCTAGATCCATAATTATAGATCAAAATTGCGGAGAAATATTATGGATTTATTTGGAGCAGAAATAATGTTTAACAGAGTGCATTTATTAAATATATAAAAACTTTTATAAAATTGTTATATTTCTTATATTTTTAAACATAATTTTACTTGATTAGATATTAAATAAGATTTTTGCAAATGAAAAAAAATAAAAAAAAACGCGACATTATTCAGATAAATTTCAATTAGATATAAATTTAAAAATTAGATAAAATATTTTTTTCCTTATCTAAATAAAAATTATCCGAATTATATTATGTTTTTGATGTCATTTTAATTAAAAATAATTTAATATTCCGCTTGTATATACGTCATAGTCATAGTACGAAAAATAATTTCGGCTGCGAATTATCAATAACATGGTATGCGGCCTTGGCGGCGTAAACAATAGCGCGCTATTGTTTACGTATTACAGCCTTGTGATTATTCGCACGGCGAGAATTCCTTTCCCTCTTCCACTTCTTATTTCTTATCATTCACATTCGCACGGCGACACTTAAACGGTGATATAATAGTTCGAGACACTCCGTCAAATTCGTTTTCTAAACGCGATCGCGACAAATATCGGGAAATAATTTCATATAATTAATAATTAATTCTCTCTCTTTCTTTTACTTTCTAGGTAATAATTATTTAAAATTACTTAAAATTAAATATATTTTGTCCGATATTTTTTCGTTCGACTTTTTGACGATTTAAATATGATTCGGATTGAGAACGCGCAATAAAATAGTCTAATCGCAGATCCGAGTAATTAACATAACGATAAGCTCCGTGATATATTAATCGTTTATTAAATAATCGAATCTAAAATACTTGTATAATTTAATATTCCGCTTGTATATATGTCATAGTACGGAAAATATTTCGGCAGCAAATTATCAATAACATAGTAATCGGCCTTGGCGGCGTAAACATTGACGCGCTATTGTTCATTCTATTGGCGGCTTTGTTATCATTCATACAACAATACTTGAATAGAATTGTAGTGGGGTGAGACGCTCAAATTCCTTTCCTACATGTTATTATTCGCACGGCGACACTCGAGCAGTAAAGTAGCAGTGCGAGATACTCCGTCAAATTTCCTAAACGCGATTACAAGTATCGGGAAATAATTTGATAAATAATTTCTTCAAAAATATTTCAATTTAAATATATTTTGTTCGCCGCTTTATCGTTCGACTTTCGACGGCATGTAAATATGATTCGAATTAAAATCGCGCAATTAAACAATCGAATCACGTAGTCACGGTATCGCGTTTTCGCGTCGTCGCGTCTTCGCGTTGGACTTCTATACTTATATAATTTAACATTTTGCATATATATTTTATAGTACGTAAAATATTTCGGCAGCGAATTAGCAATACCTAACATGATATCCGGCCTTGGCGACGTAAACATTGGCGCGCTATTGTTCATGGCTTTGTTATCATTCATACAACAACACTTGAATAGAACTGTAGTGGGGCGAGACGCTCAAATTCCTTTCCTACATGTTATTATTCGCACGGCGACACTCGAGCAGTAAAGTAGCAGTGCGAGATACTCCGTTAAATTTCCTAAACGCGATTACAAGTATCGGGAAATAATTTGATAAATAATTTCTTCAAAAATATTTCAATTTAAATATATTTTGTTCGCCGCTTTATCGTTCGACTTTCGACGGCATGTAAATATGATTCGAATTAAAATCGCGCAATTAAACAATCGAATCACGTAGTCACGGTATCGCGTTTTCGCGTCGTCGCGTCTTCGCGTTGGACTTCTAT